GCCATGCCCGGCCCGTGGGTGCTGCGCCACCAGCGCAGATCCTCTTCGTCACTGGCTGCCTCAATGCTCTGGTGCAAGTTGCGGTGGAGTTCATGGAACCTACGGCCCAAGGCATTCCCTCAGTCTAGGAAGTCCTGGACCGCGCATCCCCCAGTCTCAGCCAGAGCCTGGGGGAGACGGAGAGGACCCGGCACTCCCCCAGATCTCCACGCCCACCGGGCAGCCCATACTTCTCACTGCTGGAAAGGTCGAGGTGCTGGTGTAAGGTGAGCAGCATATCCTTGAAGAAAAGAAGCCGCTGGCGCTCAGCGGCCTGGCAGGTCTCGAAGGCCTGCTCCATGTCCTCCATGTAGCGTGGAGTGTAGCGATGCAGTTCTGCAAGCGTCTGCTCGTACTGAGCTTTCGTCTGGGTGGGGGAGGAGGGGCCTGGTGAGGACCAGACCTTCTTCCACCCTGGACTTCATACCAGACACTGCCATGGGCTGCTAAACCCAGGGCTAGCCATGAGGGGCCATCAGTCTTAAGACCCAGTTCCTGCCCTCAAGGACCCCAGCAGCCTAACAAGGGAGGTGACATCAGACGCAGCAGAAAAAAGCGTATGGTGTGGCTCACTCCTGTAATCCCAGCACTTCGGGAGGCCGAGGTGGGTGGATCATGAGATTAGTTCAAGACCAGCCTGGCCAAAATGGTGAAACCCCGTCTCTACTAAAAATACAAAAGTCGGCCGGGCGCGGTGGCTCAAGCCTGTAATCCCAGCACTTTGGGAGGCCAAGGCGGGTGGATCACGAGGTCAAGAGATCGAGACCATCCTGGTCAACATGGTGAAACCCCGTCTCTACTAAAAACACAAAAAATTAGCTGGGCGTGGTGGCGCATGCCTGTAATCCCAGCTACTCAGGAGGCTGAGGCAGGAGAATTGCCTGAACCCAGGAGGCGGAGGTTGCGGTGAGCCGAGATCGTGCCATTGCACTCCAGCCTGGGTAACGAGAGCAAAACTCCGTCTAAAAAAAAAAAAAAAATAATACAAAAGTTAGCTGGGTATGGTGGCATGTGCCTGTAATCCCAGCTACTCAGGAGGCTGAGGCAGGAGAATTGCTTGAACTGGAACCCAGAAGGCGAAGGTTGCAGTGAGCTGAGATCGCGCCACTGCACTGGACTACAGAGCAAGGCTCCATCTCAAAAGAAAAAAGTCACCGGGTGCAGTGGCTCAAGCCTGTAATCCCAGCACTTTGGGAGGCCGAGGCGGGTGGATCACGAGGTTGAGAGATCGAGACCATCCTGGTCAACATGGTGAACCCCATCTCTACTAAAAATACAAAAAATTAGCTGGGCATGGTGGCACGTGCCTGTAATCCCAGCTACTCAGGAGGCTGAGGCAGGAGAATTGCCTGAACCCAGGAGACGGAGGTTGCAGTGAGCCGAGATCGCGCCATTGCACTCCAGCCTGGGTAACAAGAGCAAAACTCCATCTCAAAAAAAAAAAAAAAAAAGAAAAAGAAAAAAGTCCACCTCATATTTCACACACAGTTAAATAAATAAATAAATAAAAATCTACCACCTGTAATCCCTGTACTTTGGGAGGCTGAGGCATTCAAATCACGAGGTCAGGTGATCAAGGCCATCCTGGCCAACATGGCGAAACGCTGTCTCTACTAAAATACAAAAAATTAGCTGGGTGTGGTAGCGCATGCCTGTAAGTAGTCCCAGCTACTCAGGAAGCTGAGGCAGGGGAATCACTTGAATCTGGGAAGCAGAGGTTGCAGTGAGCGGAGATTGTGCCACTGCACTCCAGCCTGGGTGGCAGAGCAAGACTTCATTTCAAAAAAAAAAAGAGTCTGGTGGAGAGTGAAATGAGGTCAACCTACAGGAAAGAATGGGAGAAATCAGAAAAGGCTTCCTGGAGAAGGTGGAAACTGTGCAGCATCTCAGGATGCAGAGGATTTGCATATGCAGAGCTGCAGGAAAGGACACTTCAGGCAGAGCAGGCAATACGGGACACTGCTCAAGGAAAAAAGCTGGAAGTTCTCTACTGCTGAAGTCATCCCAATGCCTGAAACTCCGTCTCTTTCCCTAGGTAAGGCATCACCTTTTGCCAGGTTCCTCCTTTAAATGATTATCTGGAGAGAGGGTGGCAGGTGGGGATTAGGGTAATAAGAGTGCTGGGGACTGGACAAGGTTTTCGAGGAGCAAGATTCATTCGGGAAGCCGTGCCCTGGGCGGGGACCAGGTCTGGGACCTGCAGCCTGTACCTTCTCGGCCTCCTTAGCACAGCGTTCCACCCGTTCCTGCAGTTTGCGCAGCTGCTCCTGGGAGACGGCGCTGTCTGCCTTCGCGTGGCTCTCCCTCGTCTGGGCTGTCTTCTCGTCCTTCCGGGATGCGTGGTAGCTCTTCTTGGAAGCTTCAACCTGGCATGCACAGAGACCACTCTGGACCCTGGATGCCACGCCCTGGTCCCCTCGAGCCCTTGCAGACCAGGAAGGAGCCTGCCTCGGATACCTCTCCCACCCAGCCTCACCTCTTTCAGCCTCTTCAGCCACGGCTTCTGGGCCTTGCGGAATCCATCCTCCGCCGCCCGGCTCTCACGGAAGCCGCCCAGCACAGGCCGGTGGAAGGCCCCCCGCTGCCAGGCGCGCACCCGCTCACTGTCCTGCCCTTGCAGCTTCTCCCGCACCTCCAGGTGCATCGCGCTCAGCCGCTCGGCCGCCGTGAAGAAGGCGTGCCAGGCCTTCTCCAGTGTGCCATACTGGGGGCCTGCGGGGAGGGACAGGGCTTGGGCCAGGCCTGGGTACCACCCAAAATGAATCCTGCCCCTCTCGCTGGGCACGAGGCATGGAGACATGGGGGTGCAAAGGTGAATGACAACCCTGACAGCTGGGCTTATGAATCCTTGTCTCAGCCACCACCGTGAGGACAGGGACATTGTCAACACTGAACAGGCAAAACACTGAGGTCCAGAGAAGTGAACTTGCCAAAGCATTACGGCTACAGGAGGAACTGAGATTCAAACCCATCTGCTGCATAAACACTACATTCTAAGGCCTCAAAGGAAGAGCCTGTGTGTGCCCTCGAGGAAGACCACGTGCGAAGTGGAAAGGTCCAGGCCCCCAGTCAGAGTGCCCGGGCTCAACCTTCAGCACTTCCTAGCTGTGTACCATTAGGCAAGTCCTTTAGCCTCTCTGAAATTCCAGTTTCTCCTCTAGAAAATACATAAAACAGGCCAGGTGTGGTGGCTCATGCCTGTAATCCCAGCACTTTGGGAGGCCAAGGAGAGAGGATCGCTTGAGCCCAGGGGTTCAAAACCATCCTGAGCAACATAGCAAGACCCCATCTCTACAAAAAATGCAAAAATTAGCCAAGTATGGTGGTGCATGCCTGTGGTCCCAGCTATTTAGGAGATCGAGGCAGGAAGATCACTTGAGCCTGGAAGATGGAGGTTGCAGTGAGCAGGGGATTGTACCACTGCACTCCAGCCTGGATGACAGAGTGAGACCCTGTCTAAAAACAAAGAAAGGAAAGAAGGCCAGGCGTGGAGGTTCATCCCAGCACTTTGGGAGGCTAAGACCTGAGGTCAGGAGTTTGAGACCCGCCTGGACAACATGGTGAAACCCCATCTCTACTAAAAATACAAAATTAGCTGGGCATGGTGGCAGGTGCCTGTAATCCCAGCTACTTGGGAGGCTGAAGCAGGAGAATCACTTGGATTTGAGAGGCAGAGGTTGCAGTGAGCCGACATCACATCACTGCACTCCAGCCCGGGTGACAAGAGCAAAACTCCATCTCAAAAAAAGAAAGAAAGAAAATGGGCAAAACAGGCCGGGCGCGGTGGCTCACGCCTATAATCCCAGCACTTTGGGAGGCCGAGGCGGGTGGATCACGAGGTCAAGAGATCGAGACCATCCTGGTCAACATGGTGAAACCCCGTCTCTACTAAAAATACAAAAATTAGGCAGGCGTGGTGGTGCACACCTGTAGTCCCAGCTACTTGGGAGGCTGAGGCAGGAGAATTGCTTGAACCCAGGAGGCGGAGGTTGCGGTGAGCCAAGATCGTGCCATTGCACACCAGCCTGGGTAACAACAGTGAAACTCCGTCTCAAAAAAGAAAAAAGAAAATGGGCAAAACGGGACCATCTCGGCAGGGTTGTTAGAACTGGAAGTAACTCTTGAGCAGCCTTTGTAAACTCTAACCCCGCAGCCACAAGGATGACCAGGAGGATCTCCCCTCTCTAAGGGAGGGTGGACATGGAGTCCTCAAACTTCCCACAAGACAGGGCCAAAGAAGCTGCCCCGACAGGCCTGCACTCAGCTGCCCTCTGCCCACTTCAGGGGCCTGGCTCACCCTTCTCCACAGTGCCCCTCCACTTTCGGGCCCAGTCGGCCAACTGCTGGGCATAGGCCTTCTCGATGCGGGCACGCTCCTGGAAGCAGCTGACCAGATCCCCGCACAGCCGGTGCCCGTCCTCCACCCGCTGCACTGTGCGCCTGTAGTTGCCAGCCTGGGCATGCAGGAGAAGGGCACCGTCACCAGAGAGAAACCCCATCTTGGGCTGGGGCTGTTGGCTGGGCTCCTCCCCTAGACAAGTAGCCTGAGCCCAGCTGCTCACCTCCCAGAAACTGCCCCCTAAGGCCTCCCCTCCAGCGTCCTCTTCTGGAGCCATGGTGTCCCCGCAGCACGGAATGATGGCAGATTTGGGGCTGTGGAGGGCAGAGGGGTAAGCGGGAAAGCTGGACATGTGCTTTTGGCGATAGGAAAAGACCCTCTCTATCCTGGGGCCTCGTCCCACCGCCATCCCCACCACCAAGGAGCCTTCAGAGCTAGGACTTAGCAGGTAGGGTGCTGAAGTCCCCAAGAAGAACCAGGATGGATGAGGATGGAGTCTCAAAGTTCTTCGTCTCACGGCTCTGTCCTTCCCCCCTTAACCCCCACATACCTGGGGTCTAGAGATCACTTCAGGGACCCGGGTGTCCAACTCTCAAAGCTGCCGCCGTGACTCTGCCTTGAAGGAGAGCAGAGCAGGGGTGAGGGTGAGGGCCTAGAGTGTCCAGGGCGGTGCCCGGCACCCCCAATATAGCAACTGCTGTCAGAAGCGCCAGATTCCAGGGAGGAGAATGCCAAGCGGGTCACACGATCCAGCTGAGGATTAAATGGCAGGCGGGGGTGGGCGGTGGGCAGAGGGCCCCACTCCCCCAACTGCTGATGAGAGAAGAAGACTCCTGCCCCCGCCAGGGGCTCTGTTGCCTTCCCTTGAGTGACAAGATGACCCTATTACCCAAGAGGCCAAGTGAGAGGGTGCCTGGCCACATCTCAGTAGCTCCTTGTGCTGAAGAGGGCACGAAGAGAGCCAAGAGGCCTGGGTTCTGTCTCGGCCAGGAAGCCCGAACAAGCACATGTAACTCTTCGCTCCTAAGGAGGCCCCAGCTCCAAGATGGAAACTCCTCCATGTGCTCTACTGCTATGCTAGGGCTGGTGTGAAACTCAAACCAAGCAACACACCAGAAATACCAAGGGCCCTGCAGTCACAGGAAGATACCCATCTCACTCCACACATCCACTGAGGGCCCGCAGGGCTCTGTGGGGGACACGCAACCTGGGCCTGCCCTCCAAAGGCCTGGCATCCAGGGTAGTATGGGGAAGTGAGAAGCAATGGCCAGCTATAAGAAGGTTCCCGGCCGGGCACAGTGGCTTACACCTGTAATCCTAACACTTTGGGAGGCCGAGGCGGGCGGATCACAAGCTCAAGAGATTGAGACCATCCTGGCTAACATGGTGAAACTCCGTCCCTACTAAAAATACAAAAATTAGCTGGGCGTGGTGGTGCGTGCCTGTAGTCTCAGCTACTTGGGAGGCTGAGGCAGGAGAATCCCTTAAACCCAGGAGGTGGAGGTTGCAATGAGCAGAGATCGCACCACTGCACTCCAGCCTGGGCGACAGAACAAGACTCAGTCTCAAAAAAAAAAAAAAAAAAAAAAAAAGAAGGCCGGGCACAGTGGCTCACACGTGTAATCCCAGTACTTTGGGAGGCCGAGGCGGGTGGATCACGAGGTCAAGAGATCGAGACCATCCTGGTCAACAAAGTGAAACCCAGTCTCTACTAAAAATACAAAAATTAGCTGGGCGTGGTGGCGCGTGCCTGTAATCCCAGCTACTCAGGAGGCTGAGGCAGGAGAATTGCTTGAACCCAGGAGGCGGAGGTTGCGGTGAGCCGAGATCGTGCCATTGCACTCCAGGCTGGGTAACAAGAGCGAAACTCTGTCTCAAAAGAAAAAAAAAATGTTCCTGAGGCTGGGTGCAATGCCTTATGCCTGTAATCCCAGCATTTTGGGAGGCTGAGGTGGGTGGATCACTTGAGTCACTTGAGGTCAGGAGTTCGAGACCATCCTGGCCAACATGGAGAAACCCTGTCTCTACTAAAAACATAAAAATTAGGCAGGCATGGTGGCAGGCACCTGCAGTCCCAGATACTTGGGAGTCTAAGGCAGAAGAATCACTTGAACCGGGGAGGCAGAGATTGCAGTGAGCTGAGATTGTGCCACTGCCTGGACAACAGAGTGAGACTGTCTCAAAAAAAAAAAAAAATTTCCCCAGAATCACAGAGGAGGGGAGGCCAATTCCAACCCCAGAACCACCACCCCAGACAGAGACTCGAGAACACAGCAGCATGTGGCTGCTCTCCTCCTGCCTTTGCGTAAGGTCTCAGCTGTCCCCAGCACGGAATTGACTCACGGACTCTAGAAGGAAATCGCTTCCTCTCTGAGCAGGCCCAAGGGACACAGCCAGACCCAGGAGGACAGTGTGTGACCTCTGTCCCCAAAGCAGGGTTCTGTCACAGCACTTCCTCCAAACTCATGAACCACTGCTCCTTCAGACCTCTAATTGAGGCATCTTCTCAACCACTTCCCTTGTTCCTCTATCCTTGCTCCTGTAGCCCCAGGTGACCCCTCAGTCGAGGCGTATAACCCATGGGTTGTGGCCGACAGGACAGTATCTGTCTCCACTCACGGACAGAGGCTTCTGGGATTCTGATTTGTGTGTCCCCACTCGCTGGAATCAGCAATAATTAGTTAAGTGAGAAAACAAGCGATGTCCACCTGCGGCCCAGGAAAGCCGCAGGCTCCAGCAGCTGTGGGAACGCTTGGTGCAGGCGGGCTTCCCCCCATGCTAACAGAAGGCAGAGCTAGGGGCTCCGCAGAGACCCAGGCAATGAAGGTGCCCACCAGGGGCCCCACACTTGGTTCCCTCTGGAGTCTGTCCTGCCAGGCCAGAGAGGACTTGACAGGGCGATGGCGAGAAAGAGAGCTGCAGTCATGAATTGCAGGGTTCTGGAGCCATCCCAGTCCAGCCTCAGGGGCCTGGGGCCCCCTGCCTGCTCCAGCCTCCAAGCTCCCTGCTCCCCAGAGAGCTGTCCCCCCCCCCCACCCCGTCCCTCTCTCTGGCCCCAGAACAGAGCAAGCTGTGTGTACCGGGCTGGCACAGCTCCCTCCGGCCTCCCAGAGCAAACACAGGCCCAAGCCCCGGGTGCAGCCAGGCTCCACAGCCGCAGCCTGACCTCACTGTGTGTGTTGGGGGGAGCCTTGCACCTTAGCCCCTGTTGAGGAGGTTGGCACCCTGTGCCTCCTGAGCTCAGCAGAGACCCAAATCAGTCCCCAGAACACACCCCATCAAAGGCCAGAGCTCAGAAAGTAGGTAATGCAATCTTTCCAGTCCCGGGAGCCAGCACCTACGGGCTGAGAGGTCTTCCTGGGCCTGGCAGGGTCTCCTTGCAGTTGCACGGGCCAAGGTAAGAGTCCCTGATTCAGGGAAGACCCACTCTCCCTACCTGAGGCCTGAAGGTACCCGACCCAGACCAGCCCCGACCCCTTCTAGAAGCTAGGGGCTTGCCCCTGGGAGGGAGCTCAGCCATCCTGCCCGGCCCATCCCTGCGTCCTGAGTCACAGGCTGCGCCCAAGGGCTTCTTCCCCCGGAGTCGCCCCCCCCCCCACCAACCCGCGTCGGCCCGCAGCCCTAGGTTTTGAGGACACAGCGGGGAGAGGCAGTCGGCTGGTCCGGAGAGGGGCAGCGGGGCTAGAGGGGCTGGAATCGGTAGTCAGAGCCAGCCTGGAGGTCAGGAGGCTGGGGAAGGGGGTGGCGCAGCGAAAGGGGGAGGAGGCAGGGCCAGGGAGGGGCATAACAAAGGGGCACTTTTGGAAACCCGACCTGCCGGCCGGGGTGCCTGCTCGCTTATGACGCACTCCGAACCCCAACCTTCACTCCAGGGCTCGGAGCCCAGGGGCTGCGCGCCTCTGGCCTCAACCCTTATGGACCTCGCCCCTCGACAGAACCTCTTGCCGCCCGGAGCTGCAGAACTCTGAGCCGGTGGAGCCACGCGGAGCGGCAGGGCCGGGCCTAGCCACCTAAGCTCTAGGACTTCTTGGCCAAACTTGTTGAACTTGGTCTCGGCGGGGGTGGGGCCACCGTCATCGCCATGGAGGGGACGCCCCCTGCCTGGGCCGGTCTCGCCGTGGACTCCAGTTGGTAGCCCCAAGCAGAGGACCCAGGAATCGGGGCTTGCTGCAGAGCGTGAGGGGTCGCCAGAGAGCGAGGCCCCTCTCGGGCCCCGGGACGGGCGCGAGGCGGGCGGATGGGGCCCCTGGAGATGGCTGAGCTCCAGCGCTGGCACCCCCTCCCCCGGGCGGCCCGCGGAATTGCGGAGCCCGCGGCGCAGCAGATTGGACGGCCCCTCGGCGCGGCTGCGGCCCTTCCCGTCAGCAGGCAGAGCGGGGTGGCCGGGGGCTCCTGGGGCTGGAGCCGGCTCCACTGCAAACTTCAGGAGCCGGGGCAGGAGAGGGCGGGCTCGAGCCACGGCACCCGCCGCCCGTCCCCGCGCGTCCCCTCCACGGCACTCACCGCGTCCTCCTGGGGCACCTCGGCGAGCGGGGGTCCGGCCACGCTCCAGCCCTAGTCCTGCCGCTCCCGGGCCCGCGCGGCCGCCTCCCGGAGCGCGCCGGGCCCTCCCCCGGGAAGCCCGGCCCCCGGCCCCCGGCCCCGCCCTCTCCTGGCCGCCGCTGCCTCTACCCCACGCGGCGGGGCTGCGGGGCTGCAGGCATCGCATCGACCGGCGGCTCTTGGGTCGCGAGCCGGGAGTTCTCCGCTCCCGTCTGTAGAGCGCCTGGGCGGGCTTCCCAGGGTTGCGCCCCTGGGCCTCAGGGAGCCAGATTTCGGCTTTGCCCCTCCCCGACCATTGCAGAGCCTGGGAGACCGGAGGGAGCAAGAAGGGACCGGGCCGGCATGGGCAGCCCTGGAGCGGGACCGGGGTACACTGCCTTACATTTTTGGCTGAGCACAGCTTGCTTAGAAATTGGCTCAGGCGAGGCTCACAATCACCCCTTATAAGCACTGGGATTCCCATTATACAGATGTAAAAACTGAGGCTCCGGGGCTTTTCAGCGGCTTGCCCAAGATCTCCCTCTAGTCGGGCAGGGCCGGGACTCCAAAGCCGTGCCCTACCCTTCCACAGCTCCCCTGCTAATCTGGGGCGCCTTCTAAGGTCTGAGGCGAACACGCAATGGGGGTGGGACAAAAAGGCGTAAGCTCCTCCCTCTCCGAGTTCTTATTTCCAGATTTTGCACCGCGATTCATTCTTAAATCCCTTCGCCCCTTCACCCCCTTTATCAGTCTGGTAGATTTTTCCAGATCGCCACGATGCCACCCCACACTAAATAAATTCCTTCTCCCTCCCCTCTCCCCGCTTCCCCCTGAGGGGGAGATTTTGCAGAGCCGGCCCGTCTGTTATTTATATCCACTGGAGCGGTCCAAGAATGTTCCGAAGCTGACCTAATCGCCACCTGCTCTGCCTCTCCACCCCTCCCGCTCTCTCCTGGGCCCGGTGACACAGCGGCAGTGGCCCCGAGCCTGGGAGACTAGGGGGAGCGCGGACCAACGGGGTCGGACGTCCGGGATGCAGAGGGTCCCGGCCGCGCAGATTCCGTGCGGGATTGGAGATCCCCGGCGCTCTCCGCGGAGTGAGCCCCCAGGGACGCGGCGCTGCGCCGGTACAATTCCTCCCACTCCCAGCTCCCTGAGGAGTGTGAGTGAGTGCGCGCGGAGTTTTAAACGGCACCTTTAAAAATAGCACAATTATGTTGTTTCTAAGTCCAGGAGGAATCACTGACGCGTTCTTTACGCAGTTGAATCCGCTCACAAAATGGAAAAGGGGCCTGGAGAAAATGAATGGGGGTAATTTTATCGGTGAGGACTCACTCTCTGGGCAATGCTAATGGGAGGGTAAAACTGCCTCCCCAAGACACCTGTGGGGCACCCAAGGCGCTCCACCTTTGGCCTGAGGATTCTGGCCGTGTTTGGCAAATCATACCTGAATAGTGAATCTGAAACCTGGAATGTAGTTTCTGAAACCAGTTTCAACACTCAATCTCGCTTAGGGCTTGGAGAAGTCCCTTCTCTCCTTATCTCTCTACCTCTGTAAAACATGACAGGTGACCCGGCTGACCTTCCACTGAGCCATGAGCCCCAGCTAATTAATGATTGTAACAACAACTGCACATCAGAGGATCTGGGAAAACGGCAAATGACAGCCACAGTGTTTTGTATTCTTTAAAATCACTTAACATCCCACCTAGTGCCTGAAGGCCTTTAGGCACCTAGACTGGAGTGTGAAAACACAAGAATGAAACTAATTACAGGAACTACCTATTAAAACCTCATTAAAAATTAAGTTGGCAGCCAGGCTGTGGGATGTGGGAAAGCCAGGCCATAGAGAGACTCAGAAAACAGGGCTGCTCATCAGACCACAAGGAGAAGGGATGTGGAGTGGAAAACATCTGGCTTGCCTTGGGCTCAAGTCTGGGAGCAGAAAGCAGAAATGTTGCAGCTGATCTTAACTGCCCCTAAAGTACTGTAGGGGAAAAAAAACAACAAAATAAAACCCAGAGCATAGGGGCTGCTTCTAAGGTGAAAGTACACAGACACGCCCTTGGAAACCCAGCTCCAAGCTAATGATGCCCCCAGGGCTCCGATTCTGTGCTCTACGGCACATCATCCATACTGCTCCATCCTTGCTGTCCTCAACCCTGAGTTCAAGAGATGTCCATGGATAGAGGGCTGCATAAAGACAGAAATCTAAGGCTGGGTGTGGTGGCTCATGCCTGTAATCCCAGCACTTTGGGAGGCAGAGGCAGGTGGATCGCCTGAAGTCAGGAGTTCAAGACCAGCCCAACCAATATGGGGAAATCTCATCTCTACTAAAAACACACCAAAAAAAAAATTAGCTGGCATAGTGGCGGGTGCCTGTAGTCCCAGCTACTTGGGAGACTGAGACAGGAGAATTGCTTGAACTGGGGAGGCTGAGGTTGCAGTGAGCTGAGATCGTGCCACTGCATTTCAGCCCAGATGAGGGAGACTTTTTGTCTCAAAAAAAAAAAAAAAAAAAAAAAAAGACAAATCTAGCAAGGCACTTGGCTCAGTGTACCAATGGAAGATTGGTCCATAGCCAAATATGCCCCTCACAGACTCACCTTGAGTTTCTGGAATGTCCTAACCACTGTGCCTTCATTTGTTTATTTATGCATTCATTCATCCAGCCAAGAAGACATTTGAATTTTTACTCCATGCTAAGTTCTATGCTAGGAATGTTGGGGATACAAAGTTAAATAAGGCAGATCCCCAGCAGGCACAGTGGCTCACACCGGTAATCCCAACACTTTGGAAGGCCGAGGCAGGCAGATCACGAGGTCAGGAGATCGAGACCATCTTGGCTAACACGGTGAAACCCCATCTCTACTAAAAGTAGAAAAAATCAGCCGGGCGTGGTGGCAAGCGCCTGTAGTCCCAGCTACTCAAGAGGCTGAGGCAGGAGAATCTCTTGAACCTGGAAGGCAGAGGTTGCAGTGAGTGGAGATCACGCCATTGTACTCCAGGCTGGGCAACACAGCGAGACTCCGTCTCAGAAACAAAAGGCAGAGCCCCAAGTGTACAGTAATGATGCAATGCAGATAGTAAGTATTCAGGCAGAAGGGATGACCTTTCACAGGACATGACACTGATTGGTCTTGATGAGTAGGAATTAGTCATGTGGACAGGCATTCTAGGCGGGAGCTTCAGGGTGTGCCAAGCCCCAGGGGTGTTACCATATGACTTTGTGACCTAGCGATTCTACTTTTTGGTATTTACCCTGGACAAACGAGTGCAAATGCAGAAAGAGGTACAAGGATGTTTGCATATAGTACTGTTTGCAACAGGGAGAACTGGAAACACATCATCATGAAGGCAATAGTTGAATAACCTAAAGTTCATTCATGCTGTGGTTTACTCTCCAAAAACTCAAGAACAAGGTAGAGATTCACCTGAGGTCAGGAGTTCGAGACAAGCCTGGCCAACATAGTGAAACCCCATCTCTACTAAAAATACAAAAATCGGCCAGGCATGGTGGTGTATGCCTGTAGTCCCAGCTACTTGGAAGGCTGAGGCAGAAGAATTGCTTGAACCCGGGAGGCGGAGGTTGCAGTGAGCTGAGACCACACCACTGCACTCCAAGCTGGGTGACAGAGCAAGACTCTGTCTCAAAAAAAAAGGAAAAAAAAAAAAAAAGGTTTAAGATGAGAATGGAGAAAAAAATAGAGAGAGAGATAAAGATGAGAATGGAGAATGTACCTATGTGTAAATTATGTAACTAAAATTAAAAACTGAACGGGTGGTAAGTGTATCTAAAACAGTGCTATCCAATTATTTTCTGCAATGGTGGGAATGTTCTATAGCTGTGCTATACCAATATGATAATTATTAGTAGCATGAGACTGCTGAGCACTTGAAATGTGGCTATTGAAAATATAAAATTTTAATTTAAAATTTTTGGAAAAAAAAGAAAAAGAAATAAAAAATAGGCTGGGCGCGGTGGCTCAAGCCTGTAATCCCAGCACTTTGGGAGGCCCAGGCGGGTGGATCACGAGGTCAAGAGATCGAGACCATCCTGGTCAACATGGTGAAACCCCGTCTCTACTAAAAATACAAAAACTAGCTGGGCGTGGTGGCGCGTGCCTGTAATCCCAGCTACTCAGGAGGCTGAGGCAGGAGAATTGCCTGAGCCCAGGATGCGGAGGTTGCGGTGAGCCGAGATCGCGACATTGCACTCCAGCCTGGGTAACAAGAGCGAAACTCCGTCTCAAAAAGAAATAAAAAATAAAAATTTTGAAATTAATTAAAAATTTAGGTGGTGCGATGGCTCATGCCTGTAATCCCATCACTTTGGGAGGCTGAGACAGGAGGACCACTTTAGACCAGGAGTTCAAGATTAGCCTGGCCAACATGGTGAAACCACATCTCTACCAAAAATACAAAAATTAGCCACGCATAGTGGTATGTACCTGGAGTCCCAGCTACTCAGGTCAAGGCTGAGGCAGAATTGCTTGAATCCAGGAGGTAGAGGTTGCAGTGAGCTGAGATCCTGCCACAGCACTCCAACCTGGATTTTAGATCAAGACCCCATCTCAAAAAAACAAACAAAAAACAAACAAACAAACAAAAAAAACACTGGGCAAGGTGGCTCACGCCTATAATCCCAGCACTTTGGGAGGCTGAGGTGGGCAGATCACGAAGTCAAGAGATCAAGACCATCCTGGCCAACATGGTGAAACCCCATCTCTACTAAAAAAAATACAAAAATTAGCTGGGCGTGGTGGCGTGTGCCTGTAGTTCCAGCTACCCGGGAGGCAGAGATTGAAGTAAGCCGAGATGGCACCATTGCACTCCAGCCTGGTGCCTGGCGACAAACCAAGACTCTGTCTCAAAAAAAAAGAAAAATTAGCAGAGTGTGACGGCACAAAACTGTAGTGCCAGTTACAGGGGAGGCTGAGGTCACCTGAGCCTGAGAGGTCAAGGCTGCAGTGAGCCGTAATTGGCCACTGCACTCCAGCCTGAACAACAGAGTGGGAATCTGTCTCAAAAATAAAAAATAAAAAAAATTAACAACTACATGTGAGTAGTGGCTACTGTATTGGACTGTGCAGATCTCCAGTATCTAGAATAATGATGTCATAGGCCGGGCACGGTGGCTCATGCCTGTAATCCCAGCACTTTGGGAGGCTGAGGCGGGCGGATCACCTGAGGTCAGGAATTCAAGGCCAGCCTGACCAACATGGAGAAACCCCGTCTCTACTAAAAATACAAAAAAAAATTTAGCTGAATGTGGTGGTGCATGCCTGTAATCCCAGCTACTCGCGAGAATGAGTAGGAGAATCCCTTGAACAGAGGTTGCGATGAGCCAAGATCGCGCCAATGCACTTCACTGCAACAAGAGCGAAACTCCGTTTCAAAAAAAAAAGAGATCATGATGGGGTGGAAGTATCAGAGGCATTTGAATCAGAGAGACTCCAGCTTGAATAACGGGTTGGGTATAAGGCTCGGACCTACTGGGCTGCATTCCCAGAAGGTTAGGCATGCGGAGTCCCGCAGATAAAAGGATGCGATAAAGAAGCCGGCCAAAACCCACCAAAACCAGGACGGCAATGTGACCTCTGGTCGTCCTCACTGCTCATTATACGCTAAATCTACTGAGTTAGCATGCTAAAAGACACTCCCACCAGTGCCGCGACAGTTTATAGATGCCAGGGCAATGTCAAGAAGTTACTCTATTAAAAAAAAAAAAAAAGTGCCGGGCGCGGTGGCTCAAGCCTGTAATCCCAGCACTTTGGGAGGCCGAGGCGGGTGGATCACGAGGTCAAGAGATCGAGACCATCCCGGTCAACATAGTGAAACCCCGTCTCTACTAAAAAAATACAAAAAATTAGCTGGGCATGGTGGCACATGCCTGTAATCCCAGCTACTCAGGAGGCTGAGGCAGGAGAATTGCCTGAACCCAGGAGGCGGAGGTTGCGGTGAGCCGAGATCGCGCCATTGCACTCCAGCCTGGGTAACAAGAGCGAAACTCTGTCTCAAAAAAAAAAAAAAAAAAAGTTACTGTATATAGTCTAAAAAGGGGAGAGACCCACAGTTCTGGGAATTGCCCACCCCTTGACTGGAAAACTCTTGAATAACCTACCCCTTGTTTAACATATAATCAAGAAATAAATAAGTATTCTTAGGTGAGCAGCCCTTGCTGCTGCTCTGCTTATGGAGTAGCCGTTTTTTGTTTGTTTGTTTGTGAGACAGTGTCACTCTGTCACCCAGGCTGGATCCAATTTTAAGCAATCCTCGTGCCCCAACCACCAAAGTAGCTGGGATTATAGGCATTCACCACCAACCCTGGCTAGTTTTTGCATTTTTGTAGAGACAGTGTATCTCCATGTTGGCCAGGCTGGTCTCGAACCCCTGATCTCAGGTGATCTGCCTGCCTCAGCCTCCCAAAGTGCTGGGATTACAGGAATAAACCACTGTTCCTGACCAGCGTAGCCATTTTTATTCCTTTACTTTCTTAATGAACTTGCTCTCACTTTATGAATTTGCCTCGAATTCTTTCTTTCACCATACCCAAGAACCCTCTCCTGGGGTCTAGGTCAGGACTCCTTTCTGTTAACAGAAGCAGATAGATGGAAGATGAAGCTGGAAAGATAGGTTGGGATTGGATGGTGAAGATTTGCAAACTGGGTTAGGAAATTTGTACTCTATCCTATAGGCAGTGGGAAGTGTGCATGGGAGTAAGTAGATCAGATTTCCCCCCACCCTTTTTTTTTTTTTTTTTTTTTTTGAGACAGAGTCTTGCTCCGTTGCCAGGCTTGAGTGCAGTGGTGGGATCTCAGCTCACTGGAACCTCCACCTGCCCAGTTCAGGCGATTCTCCTGCCTCAGCCTCCAGAGTAGCTGGGATTACAGGCATTCATCACCACGCCCAGGTAATTTTTGTATTTTTAGTAGAGACAGGGTTTCACAATGTTGGCCAGGATGGTCTCGATCTTCTGACCTCGTGATCTGCCCACCTCGACCTCTCAAAGTGCTGGGATTACACCGCGCCCAGGCGATTTCCCTTTTTTAATGATAACTCTGGCCACCCTGTGGAGAGTAGATCAGAGCTCAATTTCCCAGCAGGCGATTTCCCTTTTTTAATGGTAACTCTGGCCACCCTGTGGAGAGTAGATCAGAGCGAGCTGAGTACTGCAGGCAGGGTTGTCTCTTCCCACGGCTGCTTTGTGAGTTTCCCTCCATGGCCTCTGGACATTCCCCCAGCATTCCTGACAGGCAGCTGAATAAAGTATTCTGATTTCACTGCTATGTTTTTCAGAGCGCAGGCAGTAAAGGTGTAAAGACTGGTCCCAGTTATTGAGAGTGGTTAACTTCAGTGGGGGAGGCTGTTCGTGAGTTAGCAGCAGACCAATGGTGAAAATGAATTGCAGGTTTCAGAGTGCAGCTTATAGAGAAAGGAAGTTACCCTAGGGGGGAAAAAAAAAAGTTACCCTACATAGTCTAAAAAGGTGAGGAACCTGTAGTTCTGGGAATCCACCATTGCCCCAGGCATATTCTTTAGCCAGTCAGCACTGGCAGGAAACACCCAGCAGTTGTCATGTGTACCCTGGGTTACAGCTCCATTGGCCAGGAGGCTCCTGCTCAGGAAGCCTGTCCTGGTGCACTTGGGGCCTTCCCTGAGGTCCACTGGGGTCTTCTTGCCAGTGAATGAGGAGTTCCTCCCGGCAGATCCATTCATTTAGTCGGCTTTCAGGGGACACCTGTTGTGTGTCCAACATCATGCTGGGTGCTCAGTCCTCAATTCAAAGAAAGTAGGCCAGGTGTCGTGGCTCACGCCTGTAATCCCAGCATTTTAGGAGACCGAGGAGGGTGGATCACTTGAGGTCAAGAGTTCAAGACCTGCCGGGCGCGGTGGCTCAAGCCTGGAATCCCAGCACTTTGGGAGGCTGAGGAGGGTGGATCACGAGGTCAAGAGATCGAGACTATCCTGGTCAACATGGTGAAACTCCATCTCTACTAAAAATACAAAAAGTTAGCTGGGCATGGTGGCATGTGCCTGTAATCGCAGCTACTCAGGAGGCTGAGGCAGGAGAATTGCCTGAACCCAGGAGGCGGAGGTTGCGGTGAGCCGAGATCGCGCCATTGCACTCCAGCCTGGGTAACAAGAGCAAAACTCCATCTAAAAAAAAAAAGAGTTCAAGACCTGTCTGGTGAACATGGTGAAACCCTGTCTCTACTAAAAATACACAAATTAACCAGACATAGTGACACATGCCTGTAGTCCCAGCTACTCAGGAGACTGAGGCAGAAGAAGTACTTGAACCCCGGAGGTGGAGGTTGCAGTGAGCCGAGATCATGTCACTGTACCCCATCCTGGGTGACAGAGCAAGACTCCATCTTAAGACAAAAAAAAAAAAAAAAAAAAGAAAGAAAGAAAACAGACAAGATGCCTAACTTCATGGAATTTTCCACTGAAATCAAATAAAGGTCCGAAAACATCATTACCAATTGTGATGAGTGTTTAAAAGAAAAAGGAAAAAGACCGGGCGCGGTGGCTCATGCCTGTAATCCCAGCACTTTGGGAGGCTGAGACAGGTGGATCACAAGGTCAGGAGTTGGAGACCAGTCTAGCCAACATGGTGAAACCCCATCTCTACTAAAAATACAAACATTAGCTGGGCATGGTTGTGGGCATCTGTAATCCCAGCTACTCAGGAGGCTGAAGCAGGAGAAGATTGAACCTGGGAAGCAGAGGTTACAGTGAGCCAAGATTGCCCCATTGCATTCCAGCCCGGGTGACAGAGCAAGATCTGAAAAAAAAAAAAAGGACAGCGTGCTGGAAGGGGATAGTGGGAGTGTGGATTTAAGGAGTTTAAGCCGCCACCCAAAAAGACTCAAAAGACAAATGGAAGTTAAGAAGGTGAAGAGGGAACCTGGGAAATGGCATTCCAGGCAGAACTGATGTACGCAAAGGCCCTTGGGTGAGAACTTGACCTTCTGGGACAGAAGGGTACAGTAGGCGGGGCATGGCAAATGAGAGGGTGAGAGGCCCAGGATGAGGTGGGAGAGGCAGGCAGCACCCAGACACTACCAGGCTTTGTGAGTTCTGTTCCGCATGCGGAGGAGCCCTTGGAGTGATTTCAGCGGAGGAGTGAACTGAATGGCCTTTTTGGTTGTTGCATGAGGAATGGATCAGAGCGAGACATTAGCAAGCCATGGCCTGTACGGCCCACAGCTGAGAGTGGTTTTTACTTTTTCTCTTTTTTTTCTATAGAGATGAGGTTTCCCTGTGTTCCTTAGGCTGGTATCAAACTCCTGGACTCAAGTGATCCTCCTGCCTCGGCTTCCCAAAGTGTTGGGATTATAGGCATGAGCCACTGCACTGGGCCAGTTTTTACATTTTTTAATGAAAGAAAAAAATAGTAAAAATAAGACTTTTGTGATACACAAAGGTTATAGCAAATTAAAATTGCACTGTCTATAAGTAAAGTTGGATTGGAACACAGCCGCATTCATTTATTTATAAATTGCCTTTAGCTGTTTTCATACCACAATGGCAGAGTTAGTACTGTAGTTGGAACAGAAATCATATAGCTTAGACAGCCTGAAATATTTACTAACCGCCCTTACACAAAAACTGGCCTGACTCATGGATTAGAGAGAGAGAAAAAGCAGGGAAACAAATTAAGAGGTACCTGTGGTCATCCAGGGGTAAGATGACCACTTAAGGTAAACAATACGGCTTGTTCCAGGGTGGTAACCATGGAGGTATGAGAAATGCATGGGGCTGGGCACAGTGGCTCATACCTATAATTCCACCACTTTGGGAGGCCGAGGCAGAAGGATCACCTGAGGTCAGGAGTTCAAGACCAGCCTGGCCAACATAGTGAAAACCCCTCTCTACTAAAAATACAAAAATTCGCTGGGCGTGGTGGTATACACCTGTAATCCCAGCTACTCGGGAGGCTGGGATATACGGAGAATCTCTCAGGAGGCGGAGGTTGCAGTGAGCCAAAATCACACCACTGCACTCCAGCCTAACTGACAGATCGAGACTCCATTTCAAAAAAAAAAAAAAAAAAAAAAAAGTACATGTTTTGAAGAAGTATTTTGGGGAAAGAATCACCGGAACTTGCTGATGTGTTGAAGATGAATGGGAAGGGAGAGACGCTTTTCAAAAAGACTCCCAACATGTGATCTTGGATTGGATTCTGGACCAGAATAGGACATTGGTTGGGCATTTGGCAGAATTTGTATAAGACTTGTAGATTAGATGATAGTGTTATCAGGGTTAACTTCCTCGTCTTGATCAGTGTATCATGGTCATATATGATGACTATGGGGAATCAGGGAAGAGTATATTGAAACTTCTTATAACTTTTTTGGAGCCGGGCACAGTGGCTCATGTCTGTAATCCCAGCACTTTGGGAAGCCAAGTTGGAAGGATCACTTGAGTCCAGGAATTCAAGACCAGCTTGGGCGACATACTGAGACCCTGTCTCTACAAAAAACAAAACAAAACAAAACAAAAAAACACACAACTTTTGCCACTCTTTTGTAAGTCTGAAATTATTTCAAAATGAAGGGGTCTCCTCTCTTGACTTTAGAGCCCCCCTCCCTCTGTCTCTGTACAGGGAAGTTTCTTCCTTCTTTTTTTTTTTTTTTTTTCCTTGAGATGCAGTCTTGCTCTGTCATCCAGGCTGGAGTGCAATGGTGCGATCTCGGCTCACTGCAACCTCTACCTCCTGGGTTCAAGTGATTCTCCAGCCACAGCCTCCCCAGTAGCTGGGATTACAGGCACGCGTCACCATGCCTGGCTAATTTTTGTATTTTTAGTACAGATGGGCTTTCATCATGTTGGCCAGGCTGGTCTCAAACTCCTGATCTCGTGATCTGCCTGCCTCGGCCTCCCAAAGTGCTGGGATTACAGGTGTGAGCCACCACACGCAGCCTCCCAGCCTTCTCTCTTCTTTCTTACCTGTTAAACTCTCTGCTTCCCGGCTGGGCGTGGTCTCAGCACTTTGAGAGGCCGAGGTGGGCAAATCACCTGAGGTCAGGAGTCCAAGACCAGCCCAGCCAACATGGTGAAACCCCTTCTTTAAAAAAAAAAAAAAGAAGAAGAAAGAAAGAAACTTTCTGCTTCTTAAAACCACTCCAAGTGTGTCCGTGTCATTTTATCCAGTTCTCGTGAGACAAGAGCTCTGGTGCTCCACCACTCATCAGAGCCATATCAGTGCCATCTTCAAAGCGGAGAGCAAGTCCTCGACAGACAGCATATGTGACCAGCCCTGGTCTTGGACTTACAGCCTCCACGACAGACTCTGCTCCAACTACGAACTTAGGAGTTTAAGGAGTGTACTTTTTCCAACTAGAAGCTGGACATCCTAAGTGATTGGTTAGAGGATCATGTTTGGTTTTTTTCTGCCTGGTTCCAAGTTGAAAGTAGGAACAATAACAACATGAGGAAGCCTGCAATTTTTGACCACGTCCTGATCTCTCTGTGCTGATCGCCGTCAAGGTGGGGGTCAGGGTTCTGTTTTCATCTGTGCTCTGTTCATCGTCTGCTTGAATATTCTGTCTCTCTATCTATAGAAGGGAAAAACAATAACGTTTATTATCAGAAGCCTCATTCTAAGTTTACTTTTCTGTGTAGGTGTCCTTGTACAAATCACTTTGCTTTTTAAATGTACAAATAATGTTTTCTTACTGAGTAGCAATAGAAGTAGTATTTTTGCTAGGCTTGAATTGCTTACTATTAAAAAATTATACTTATATTTGTATAATAAAACCTAATCATAGGTTCAGACGCACATACGACAGAGAGCAATGCTTGTCTTTTTGCTTAATTTTCATATTACAAAATTAATTTTTATTTATTTATTTATTTATTTATTTATTTATTTTTTTCTTTTTTTTTTTTTGAGACGGAGTTTTGCTCTTGTTACCCAGGCTGGAGTGCAATGGCGCGATCTCGGCTCACCGCAACCTCCGCCTCCTGGGCTCAGGCAATTCTCCTGCCTCAGCCTCCTAAGTAGCTGGGATTACAGGCACGTGCCACCACGCCCAGTTAGTTTTTTTTTTGTATTTTTAATAGAGACGGGGTTTCACCATGTTGACCAGGATGGTCTCGATCTCTCGACCTCGTGATCCACCCACCTCGGCCTCCCAAAGTGCTGGGATTACAGGCTTGAGCCACCGCGCCTGGCCTTAATTTTTATTTATAATTGATATATAAACACGTTCTTTTGTTGTTGTCGTTGTTTTGAAACAGAGTCTCACTCTGTTGCCAGGCTGGAGTGCATTGGAGCAATTTCAGCTCACTGCAACCTCCACCCACTAGGTTCAAGCAATTCCTCTCCTGCCTCAGCCTCCCGAGTAGCTGGAACTACAGGTGCACCCCACCACCCCCAGCTAGTTTTTGTATTTTTAGTAGAAACAGAGTTTCACTATGTTGGCCAGGTTGGTTTCGATCTCTTGACCTCGTGATCCACCTGCCTTGGCCTCCCAAAGTGCTGCGATTACAGGGGTGAGCCACCACACCTGGCGGTGAACATGTTCTTTTTAAAAGATACAAAATGTGATGGGTAAATCTAATGTCCTTTTTGATCATCATCCCTGATTTTAAGAATATAACTGTCTAGGCCGGGCACAGTGGCTCACGCCTGTAATCCCAGCACTTTGGGAGGCCGAGGCGGGTGGATCACGAGGCCAAGAGATCGAGACCACCCTGGTCAACAT